GAAGAACAGATGCAGGGGGGAGTTTAGAGGATGAGGAGGAGTTGGGTGAAGCTGCGGGGAGAACGGGTGTGCTGTAGGAGAAGGCGGATGATGGGACAGAGGGAGGCAGCGGTGCTTCGCCTTTTGGAGAAGGTTTAGCAGCAGGAGGAGCAGCAGGAGGAGGAGGAGAGCCCGGCACAGCAGTGGCTGAGGCGTAGGAAGGTGTGTTTGTTTTAGCAGCCGGAGCTACAGAAGTGAGCGGCAGGCTGACACAGGGGCTCGCATTTGGCATCAAGGCCTTGACAAAATTCAGCCCCGAGGGGGTGGAGTCAGAAGGTCTAGCAGCAGGAAGGGCGGGGCTGGTCATGGTGTCAGGTGTAGTGGTTGTAGAGGTTGCTGTAAGAGGTGGGGTGGAGGATTTGGGTTTGTCCCCGGCAGAAGGAGACGGAGCTCTGACATCTTCAACGGGGCTCTTCTGTAAAAGGACAGAGCAGCAGCAATCAGACTCCAGGTTTTAAATTCCAGACGGTCCCTGAAGGTCTCAGGTAACACTTCAACGACCAAATGCACAGAAAAAAACAGCTGCTCAGCTTCAGATTTGATAGATCATATATGGAGTGACCACATAGAGCTTCCTTACTGAAGTCCCAGGTATGAAGCAAACTAGTTCTGGAGAACTCGTGCACTCATAGGCTTTATCTCATTTTCAGAGGTTTTTTATTGATTTAAAAATCACCTCATGGTGTCACTCTCAAATCGTTTCTCGCTGGAACGATTGCCGTCTCTCTTAAAGAGCATGGCAGCACAGCTTATGTCACATCTGAACAAAGTCAGCGCGGTGGTGGAGGGATGATGATTTGGGCACCAGTCATTGAGTCATACATGAAGCCATCTTTATACAAAAGTGTTCTGGTGTAAATGTAGGAGCCTGTCAGCTGTCTGACACACAAACACTGTCATGCAACAGGACGATGATCCAAGCAAATTACAACCAAATGGCTAAAAAAACGAAGCAACCATGAAGTCCATGGAGGGCTGTGGTGAAAACTTAAGAGCTTTGCATAAATTACCGTCTGCAAACCTCAATGACTGGAAGCAACGTTGTAAAGAAAATCAGGTCAAAACTGCTCCACAGTGATGTGAGAGAAGGACAGTGTCAAAGAAAGTTTGTCCTACAAGCTCCTGAATGCTGTGGTGTACGTAGTTTTCAGAGGACTGCAAACGCCTCACGAGCTGACAGCGTGTGATTAGTTCTTTTAATTTATTTTAACTTATATTTTGTATTTATCTTCTGTTTTATTGTTTTTAGTTTCCAAGTATTTTAGTTTTTATTCAGCAATCTAATTTTCCTACAAAGCTTCCTGATAGGCTTTTTAATTTGATTTTCTTTATTAGCATTTCATCTCATTTTCTAATTGTTCTCAATTTAATTTCATGTACTCTAATTCTACTTGCAGGCTTTTCAATTTTAATTTAATTTCTTTGATGTTTTGTGTTTTTAATTTGAGTTTCGTGTCACTGCTGATTATTTTCTTTCATCACTTTTTCTTCTGTCAGTCGTCTGTGTGAAAAGTGCTTTACAAATAAAGTTAGCATCAGTGTATCACTGAGCCTCGGCACCAGGATGCTTTTAAACCTCTTAAATGACGACACGAATGTTCACCGGCTGCTCCCATTAGCAGTCCTATACGCACTAACTGAGCCGGCGAAATCATTCACAGCTGAATGTGAACAATGTCACATACCATGCGGTGCCTTTTTGTGCTGGTGATTAATGTTAGGGTGTTTTAGCACCTCTGCGGTGTTTACTCTGTTTAAATCAAACTAGTTTTCCCCTTTTGACGAGGCTGTGCAGATGTGAACACTGTACAGAGAATACCACCTCCAAAGTACAGTTCACAACGAACAGAGCGGTTCGTTTATGGTGTGAACGCGATCCAAACCAACTACTATAAGCTTGAGCTACAGCACGCCCCGTAAGCTTGGGTTCTTTTGTATTCGCTGCTGGAAGGTCCTACAGATGTGCAGCGGTCTGTGCGGGATACCAACTAGCTGGGAAATGAATCAATTCTCCATTTTCTCACACAGCATCTTCTTCCTGTATTTCCTTTAGTTGCTTCCACACCAGACGCATCAGGCCAATGAGCAGACTGAAATGCTCTCACGTAGTTTGTAGTGATGCATTCTGGTCCGCTTGGACTTCACTGTGTGCAAACAAACCAAACTGCGAGGAAAAAGCTGTTTACAAACTCATCAGCTGATTCGGACCAGAGGAAATGGCCCTGAGAGCGTTTCTGCATCATAACATGTCTCTCTGTTTGTGTCCGTTTGTGGTCTGAACTCACCGTCTTGTTCCTCTGAGATCGCTTCTTCTCTCCTTTCCTCTTCCCTCCCTCTCCCTGCGTCCCCGGCTGAGACTGAGGGGAGAAAAACAAACATTAGAAACATTAAAAACTAAAAAAACATCTGCTGAACAAGAAACAGCGTGAGCATGACGAATTAAATCCAAACGCTCATCCTTCCCGGAGCGTCATGTATCAGCCTCTGAGGAACATTTTCAGATTTCGTCACCGATACGCAGCCAATAGCAGCTCTGATTCACCAGCTTTTACATGTCCTAACAGCGAGCCTGGAGCTCATTAAACATTTTTACCATATGGGCCACTTGCTGTGTTTTCTCTGTATCCCATCAATGCACAATTCCCCGAGTCCACATCAATACTTCGACAAAGAAACACAACACTGAGGAAAATGAAGGAAAGGAAACAAAGCAGTGAAACTGTGAAAATAGTGTCTGTAAATGTGAGTAACACTCCTGTCTGGCAGTCAGAGGTGAGCGAGGTAGAAAATAAACATAAAACTCTCAGTAAACTACGACACGGCGCCTGCATGCTCGTCGACAGGTCAGAATCCATGTCGGCTTCTGTTTCTCCAGCTTACAGATGAGTTTCCACGTCTTCTGTTGACCTTGCTTCTGTAGGAGACTTTGATTTGTTCTGCTTTAACTTCCTGTTAAAGTTTTCAGTAACCACCAGCGGCCATGTTTAGTAACACGCTGCATCAGCGCAAACAAAAACAAGACACTGCTGGTATTTACAAAGAGAGCACAGTGACACGATCACGTGTGAGAGGCACTGACCCCGTTTCATGTGCATGTCTGGGTGTGCTTTTCTCTGTAGGCTCCTCTTGTTGGTGTTTTTAACATTATTCACATGTGTAAGACAGCAAAGCCAGAGCTGACAGGAGGAGCAGAAGCAGTGAAGAAAAGAAAAAACGGGAGAAAAATAAAATAAAAGTGTGGAGGAGAATATTTAAATCACATTTGCAACACACAGTTTTTTTCTGCTAACTCTACTATTTAATGTAATTAAAACAAAGAAAGAAAAAAGTCTCATCTTTTTGTTCTCGATATTAAAATGAACCGCCCGCGTCTGCGTTCAGCCGTAAAACTGAACACACCTCTCTGCGCTGTCTGAATCTGGCCCCAGATGTTTAAACATCAGCTCGCTGCCTTTCTAAAAGGGTTACGCGATCAAACCGGGCGACCCAGCCTCAGCAGGACGTTCAGGTTTATCTGGACCCATCATGAAATCAGCCTCATGTAAACTCACGCCGAGTGCGGGGAAGCTGTGCTCGTCTCTGAGCTGGATCTCCACCAACGCCACGTTCCTCTCCTCCTCCTCTTTGGCCAATCGCTGCTCCTCTGTCAGGCCGAACGCCACCTCCGACGTACCCACGGACTTCCTGTAGAAAGACACAGAAACGCAGAAGAACTTTATTTAATCCAAAGAGCAACAACAGCAGCGTAAAATGAAAAGAACTACAAAAATAAATAAATAAACTAAAACAGTCAATGATGAATTTATGCTTTATATAAACCATAGAGGAAGATTATGAAGGAGGGGTTCAGGGATCGTGTCATTGTGTGATCCAGCACTGATACAAACAGAGATGACGCACACGTGATGACGCACACTGACCTGCTGGTTTTGGCCCCGCCCTGCTCCTCTACATTGGCCTGCGGGGGCCAGGAGTGCTGCTTCAGCATGCGGCCACCTGAGCCCGGCGCCGCTGCCTGAGAACCAGAGGACGACGATGGCCCGACGGACTTCCCCCTTCCTCGGCCTCTCCCCCGCTCCTCCCACTCTGAAGGAGAAAGAGAGTTTCCACAGACTGCACTCATGCAATAAACCTGTAACATACGTGTGCGCGCGCACGTGTTCACCTCCTCCGTGCCCGTTGCTGAGCCTCTTGTCACGGTTGCCCACCTTGCTCCACTCATCACTGGGAGGGCGGACACACCACAAAGGCACCACCTGCCTTAAAACACACATGACAAGATTTGTCACGTCTGTGCAACCTCCACGACGCTGAGCGTGTGTGCGCGCTGTTAGTGCGACCTACTTCCTGCCCAGATCTTCTATGTAAACGGTCACTGGCTGGTTATTGGCCGGCACCTCCTTGATGACGGCGCTGTAGAGCCGATTGGTTCCCTCGAGACGAACCTGCAGGTGACGCACAAACAGTGTGAAACATGCACTCGAGGAGGATCGATCCAACACACACACACACACACACACACACACACACACACACACACCTGGCAGCGGTCTCCTACAGTGAACTGCATCCCAGCAGCGATGCAGTAATCCATCTTCTGTTGGGCTAAAAGAAAAAAAAGAAAAGAAAACGTGAAACATTCACTTTTAACTTTTGTTTAAAAAAATGATTTTCTGATCACTTTGAGTTCAAAGTTCCCCTTCAGATCTTTTATCCCCATCCTGACGTCTGTTTTCAATCTTCCTACAAAATCCAAAAACACGGCTGATTGTCACACTTTCAGCTTCTGCACCACCTGCTACACTGCCACTGTTTTGCATATTTAAACACAGGTTATCACATCCAGCTGCTGCTGCCTGCCAGCAACAGCTGTGTCCAGCTAAGTGGAGCAGTGGTCCTCCGCTTTAACGATCAGTCTGAGCACAGACGTCCCGCCTCATCGACAAGCCGGGACGGCGCTCAGAGCCAGTACCAGTCATTCTCTTAGTAGATGTTAAAATTGTACATAGCTTCAACACTTCTGCCCTCTGACCTCATCAGGATTCATTCATGCCTCGTTCTCGCGTTATTGACTATGTGCACGTTAGCATATGCTACTTCCGATGCAGAAACTCCTGTGGGGAGCTTTGTTTCCGGTGTCCTATTCGCGCCCTGTTTATGGTCCAAAACAAGTTAAGCAAATGAATGAATCAAACGGCGATTTACATTTCTATAGATGTCTCGGGCATTTACCCAATATATCTGTAAATGATGTTCATCGACTTGTCTATTTTTTCCCCTGCGCCTCAGGGCAAAAGAGAAAAACGATTCAAATGTTATATTTCTCAGCTGTCCCTCGTTTATC